GAAATGGACAAAGTATTAATCTCCAAAATTTACAAGCAGCTCATGCAGCTCAATATCAAAAAAACAAACAACCCAATCCAAAATGGGCAAAAGACCTAAATAGACATTTCTCTAAAGAAGATATACGGATTGCCAACAAACCCATGAAAGAATGCTCAACGCCATTAATCACTAGAGAAATGCAAATCAAAACTACAATGAGATATCATCTCACACCAGTTAAGATGGCCGTCATCAAAAAATCTACAAACAATAAATGCTGGAGAGGATGTGGAGAATAGGGAACCCTCTTGCACTGTTGGTGGGAATGTAAATTGATATAGCCACTATGGAGAACAGTATGGAGGTTCCTTAAAAAACTAAAAATAGAACTACCGTACAACCCAGCAGTCCCACTACTGGGCATATACCCTAAGAAAACCATAATTCAAAAAGAGTTATGAACCAAAATGTTCATTGCAGCTCTATTTACAATAGCCAGCACATGGAAGCAACCTAAGTGTCCATCAACAGATGAATGGATAAAGAAGATGTGGCACATACATACAATGGAATATTATTCAGCCATAAAAAGGAACGAAACTGAGTTATTTGTAGTGAGATGGGTGGACCTAGTGACTGTCATACAGAGTGAAGTAATTCAGAAAGAGAAAAACAAGTACTTTATGCTAACACATATATATGGAATCTAAATTAAAAAAAGAAGAAGTAAAAAGAAAATGGTCAGAAGAACCTAGGGGCAAGACGGGAATAAAGATGCAGACCTACTACAGAATGCACTTGAGGATACAGGGAGGGGGAAGGGTAAGCTGGGACAACGTGAGAGAGTGGCATGGACATATATACACAATCAAATGTAAAACAGATAGCTAGTGGGAAGCAGCTGCATAGCACAGGGAGATTAGCTCGGTGCTTTGTGACCACCTAGAGGGGTGGGATAGGGAGGGTGGGAGGGAGATGCAAGAGGGAAGAGATAGCGGACATATGTATATGTATAACTGATTCACTTTGTTATAAAGCAGAAACTGACACACCATTGTAAAGCAATTATACTCTAATAAAGATGTTAAAAAAAGAAAAAAACAAGAGTCATGTACCACAATTTTCATTGCAGCTCTATTTACAATAGCCAGGACATGGAAGCAACCTAAGTGTCCATCAGCAGATGAATGGATAAAGAAGATGTGGCACATATATACAATGGAATATTACTCAGCCATAAAACGAAACGATATTGAGTTATTTGTAGTGAGGTGGATGGACCTAGAGTCTGTCACACAGAGTGAAGTAAGTCAGAAAGAGAAAAACAAATACCCTATGCTAACACATATACATGGAATCTAAACAAAAAGGTCATGAAGAACCTATGGGCAGATGGGAATAAAGATGCAGACCTACTAGAGAATGGACTTGAGGACACGGGAGGGGGAAGGGTAAGCTGTGACGAAGTGAGAGAGCGGCATGGACATATACACACTACCAAATGTAAAATAGATATTTAGTGGGAAGCAGCCGTACAGCACAGGGAGATCAGCTCAGTGCTTTGTGACCACCTAGAGGGCTGAGATAGGGCTGGTGGGAGGGAGACGCAAGGGGGACAAGATATCAGATATATGTATATATATAGCTGATACACTTTGTTGTAAAGCAGAAACTAACACACCATTGTAAACCAATTATTCTTCAATAAAGATGTTAAAAAAATAAAGATATAAAAAGAAAAAAATATGAAAGATAATAACGCTGTTGAAAATGTGGAAAAATTGGAACCTTCACATATTGCTGATGGGAAAGTAAATGCTGCTTTGGAAAACAGTTTGGCAGTTCCTTGAAAAGTTAAAACGTAGTTACCATATGGCCTGGAAATTCCATATCATCTGAGAGAAATGAAAACATATGTAACATGAATGTTCAAAAAACTGCACACAAATTTTTACAGCAGCATTATCCATAATAGCCAAAATGTGGAAACCATCCAAATGTCCATCAACCAGTGAATGAATTAAATGTGATATATCCATACAATGAAATATTATTTGGCCATAAAAAAGATTGAAGTACTGATTCATGCTGCAATGTGGATGAACATTATGCTAAGTGAAGGAAGCCAGACACAAAATTTCATACATTGTTTGATCAATTTATATGAAATGCCTAAAATAGGCAAATCCACAGAGACAGAAAGTAGAATAGAATCTTCTTCTGTGGAGAAGGGGAAGTAGGGGGTGACTGCTAATGGGCATCTGATTTTGGCGTGGGGAGTGGGGATGAAGAAAGTTTCTGGAATTAAACAGTGGTGATGCTTGCACAACTTTGTGAATATGCTAAAAACCACCAAATTGAACACTTTAAAAGGGTAAATTCTGTGGTATGTGAATTGCCATCTCAGTAAAAAAAGGAATATGATATGTTTGCATATTTGAGCTATAGACTTAGGATTTCAATAAATGTGAGCTATTATTAGAAACTAACTCAAGGCAGGATCTGATCACTACAAAAGCGTCAACATTGCAATTTCCCACTAGGTACAAACTGTTAGCTATCTTGAGACAAATTAAAATTCTCTTGGTTTCTACTCCCCAAAGCTGAAGAAATGTATTTCACTCAATATGGGATCCTGATCTGGGGAAAAAAGTTGCTTTTCCATACCCCCAGCGGTTCTTGAAGAGCCTGCCCAAACAGCAGTGGTAAAGGAAATTTAATATACATTATACATTATCATGACTGAAACCCTTTCTGTGCTGATACCCTAAGACTGTCCTAGAAAGGAAAATATTTCCACTTCAAAGTTTTCTGATACTATCATATGGGAAGAAGAGCAGGAGGCTTGGAGCAGGACTGTGTGACTTAAAGGATCGATGTTTTAAAGGGACCAAGAGGGGGCTTCCCTGGTGGCGCAGTGGTTGAAAGTCCGCCTGCCGATGCAGGGGACACGGGTTTGTGCCCCGGTCTGGGAAGATCCCACATGCCGCGGAGCGGCTGGGCCTGTGAGCCATGGCCGCTGAGCCTGCGCGTCCAGAGCCTGTGCTCCGCAAAGGGAGAGGCCACAACAGTGAGAGGCCCCCGTACTGCAAAAAAAATATAAAAAAATAAAAATAAAGGGACTAAGAAAGCAAGAGTAGACAAATGAAAGCAATAAATTGAGAGTCAGAACAGCACAATTGACATAGACAGCTCATGCAGGGACTGGGGAGGAAAGAAAATGTTCTTGGAAATGCCCTTCCCAGTTCAAAAACAAGCTTCAGTTCTCCTGAAGAGAGGGAAAGACTTAAAGACTGTAGCACAACTCTGAGATGAAGTATGGGTCCTTTTCTTATGATTGTTAAATGTACAGTCCCCTTATGAGGGGAATAATGTTATTATCCTGGAGGGGGCTCCATTATGATGCATACTGGCTCATATTTTCATTTAGAGCAAAAGTTCTTAAGAGTATGACTTATTTCTGAAGGAATAAAAAGGACTTTGCAAAGAATAGGAGTAAGTCAACATCATTATGGGGCACTGACATAGCAATCTGCTTGCAAATGATTTTTAAAACTACTGCTAATAATATACCTCTTGTATATAGTATTCTCAACAAAGCCACCTTGGGTAATCAAATTAATACAGGGCAGTGGAAAGGGAAAGGGAATAGGAGAACCTATACCATTACCAGCAATGACTACAATTAATACAAGTACATTAAATTACCCAATGGGACCATTGGACAGCCCTGGGCAATGAAACAGTCATTTAGTTATTTATTGTGGCGTGTAGTAGAGCAACGTAATGGGGGACAATAGTATTACTAAGAAAAGAAAGATGCAAAGACTGAAACCTCAACAGTGGAGGTATATCTGTGTGCTCTACTTGGGAGTAATGTTCTTTCCTTTACCTCTGATCAAATCACAGCACAGTCACATACAGACCCCATGTTCAGAACGACTAGTCAATGGAAAACCAAACTCATTGTTATCTAAGCTACTGTAAAACTTACCTGAATGAGGAAGTCACAGTTATTGCTATCAAAGAGCACAAAAATAATATAGAAAAATGTTGGCAATAAGTTGGAAGAAATCATGACACACACATACACAGAAACACATCTCTCAATTTAAATGCTGCCATGGGTAAAGGGTGAAGAAGTCAGATCCACCGTACACTCCCAATCAGTGAATGCTAGTTCTTACCAATGCGCAAGAGGCCGGATTTTGTGTATCTATGAAGCTGAGTGAATCAGGCCCTCACGTCTAGTTACATGCTTTGAGAAACCAAGAACATAGGAAGTGTTGCAGAACAAAACCCCACACTGAGCCCAACTAGCCACCTAATCCAATCCCTCCAATTCTCCTACCACTGCTCAGGTCACTAATGGATGACAACCTTCCCTGGTGAGCCGCCTCTATTCACACAGCATCCTCCATTGAACACTAATGGAGAGTGTTCACTCTGAGCTAGTAGTATCTATCACAAACTCTCTGCAACCTACCCTTAACCTGATCCTCAACCTCTCCTGGTAGCCTTGTAAATAATATACAGACCCACATTCAGTCCATTCAACCAAAAGTAGAGAACTAGATTAGGCAGCAATAGAAATTTTTGACATCCTGTACGACCACTGCCTGGAGTAATTGAAAGGGTAAGGGCTAAAGGACTTATTCGGGAACAAGAATCGTTTTTTAAGAACGTACTAAGCCACATCAAGGAATTCCACTAGGAAAACATAAAGGGGGGCTGTCCAAACTCTGCCTATGACAGAGTCTCAGGAAAGCCATGTGGCTGATCCATCTATGGCTTTAAAACCAGACTGACTACCCATGCATCATGCACCTGCCAGCTCACAAGGGCAATCCTCAAACACCAGCCAATGTGCAGGCTGTCGTTCAGATCTATCTCCCACAACCTCACATTCCCTGATCAATTCCAATTGTTCTTGCTGTAATAATGTCTTCCCAGCTCTATTATGGCTCTATAACTCCAGTTATGATCCTTCCTTTATCTCCTCCAGGTTTGAAATTTACCTCAGTGGGTGGTCTTCCAGACTTGATAAGAGCCTGCATCTCCAACTTGCAGTCAGTCATGAATACAATCAGCCTCTTTCATCTTGGCCTTGTCCTGGCTACTCTGTCAGCGTTCATCTCAGTCATCCCTTATTCCTTCATGAAGTCAGGGAAGATTCAGGCACTAAAAAACCAGAAGGAAAAAAATTCCAAAGAGGAAGTGAATACCAGCAAAATGAGAGGAACAAACAGCAATTATGAGTTATTAGATTTGATGCCTGACCTCCAGGTGACTGGAGGGTGAAGGAATGAGGAGTTAGTGAGGAAGTAGACATAGGAAGTATACACTAAGCTTTTAAGAAGCAAAGGTACAGAGAGAATAATGTCTTGAGATAGTATTTGGGTTAAAAGAGGGGGTTTTGAACACTGCAAAGACTTGAGCATTATACGGAGGGTTAATTTTGTAAAATAAGAAGGGCCATTATCACAGACATGCAGAGATAACAGAAAACAGAAAACAATACAGAGAAATTTTTACAAAGAAAAAGGGAAGCTGATGTTCATTTATCTGGATATGTTTAAAGTGAGAGATAAGTTATCTTCTGGGAATAAGGGAATCTGTAGCAGGGTCAGTATCTGACTGCAGTTGCCAGTCAAATAAGATGAATAAATAGTCTGCCAAACAGTTGTAAGGATCCAGTTACAACTATAGAGTATTTGAGAATGCAGTAGTGATTTTCCTCAGTAATACTCAGAAGACAGATCAGACATAAGGAAACCAGAAAGCACTGAAGATTGATCCGGTGAGGACAGAGGGATCTGAAGGTTCTGGTAAATGGCTTTGTTAATGGCTACAGGCCCTGAGTCCACATAGAAAGTGCTAAAAGGGGATGGACCCTGAGAATAGGCAAGGAGCTCATGGGGAAGCAAATTCTAGGTTCAGAATGACTAAGTGAAAGGGGAAGAGATGAAAGAACAGGAATTGCCACCAAAGATAAATGGAGACAAAGATGATTGGAACTTTGTAGGTGAAAGGGCTATGAAGCAAAGGTTATAAAACGGTCTCAGTGGAATATGAAAAACCCTTGAAAAGCTGATGCCAGAGGGGAAAAAGGGAGACCAAAAGGCTGATACTGCGGAAGACAGGAAACTATCCCCATGAACCCATCACCTAGCTCCAACAATTGTCAACATATTGTCAATTTAATAGGGATCTTTAATTCTTAGCCTCAATATGGCAGGAAGCCCTTGGCAGGGCTGAAGGGAAAATACGGAAAAGAGGAAAACATTCAATAGCCTTAAAGTCAACTAGATAATCAAGAGCACGTTGTTGATAGAGTTCTGTGAGTTGACGCTGACATTTTTCTAATTGATACAGATGAGGAGTTATGAGTATGGTAGTGTGGCAATGTGTGGTGTTAGGTCTATAGCGATCCAGAAAAACCCAGGCTGTCGTTTTATATCTTTATCTCTTCTTTCTCTCCTTCAATGTGTGAGGAATTAGGTAAATGCTATCTAAATGACTAATTCAATTTATTTAATGGTATGTTTGTTTTCGCAAATGGCATGTTAACTATAGTGTGTCATATCAGACAGAAAAGATATGCAAACCAGATTTTAAGTTCAATATTCCTGTGATTTAGAGATCATGATTGGCAATCCTGAAGCACGAGAAAAACATTCACCAAGTAGTTTAAAAATTATTTCTAAATTCCTCTGTTATTTATTCCACCTGTTCTCTGGGTTGCACATGTATATTTTTAATGCTGTTCTAGTTTTGTCAATTCTTTGATAGTTTTCTCAGAGAAATAGTGAGTTCAATCAATAACCATTCTATTGCTAAAAATTGGCCTTCTGTGAAAAAAAGTTTTGACTGTCATTCATGGAGAAAGAATCCTTTTCATGTGTCCTTTAAATTTCAAGGCAAGGAATAATTATTAAAGAGTTTGACCTTTATATTATATAAAACTTGATAAATTTTTGTATCAAACTTGGAATACATTCCAAGTATCCTTGAAGAATATAACAGAATAACAGAATTCCTCTCCCCAGTTCAAGAGAAAATTAAATTTTAGTTAACTTTTACTTAGACTGGCCAATGTTTCTGCTTCCATCCATGACAGAAAACCTGACATCAGCCTTGCCTCTCTCCATAAACAATTCAGAAACTGAACAAAATGTATGAAGTAATTATGTGCAGATGGTGAACAATAGATAACCTGACTGTGATCTTTGAAAAAGGGAAACAAAATGAGGTAAGATCTGCAATATCACTAGCTTTCTACCTAAAGGCATTTTTCAAACTGTGATGCAGGAAGAGGGAACCTAAGCAAGCCTGGTGGTCCCACTGAGTTGAGGAAGAAGAGGAGGGTTTATGGAGGCTGATGCAGTGGGATTTGAGGGGTGGAAAAGAAAGCTATACACAGAACTATGTCCAGATATCTGCATAGGTGTCCTCTTAAGTCTGCATATCAATATGTACAGGTACTGGGAGAAACTTCCAATGGGTAACCAAAAGTTGGGTAAAGAACAACTGCCAGAAAGCAGTAAGTTTAACATTGCTCAGATACCAGATCTGGAAGATGTTTGAAATCAGACCAGTTAAAGTGAAAAGACCTGGTTGACCACCCAAGACATTCAGTAGAGAATCCAGGTATGTCACTCCTCAGACATAGGACTAAAGTAACCCTAGAATAAAAGTTCTTCTAGATACACTTTAAAAACTTACAAAACAATCCTAAGAATCAGGATTACTTAAAAGCTCACTTGCCTGTCAGACTTTTCAAAGGAAGACAAAAATAAAACATATTAATTGACATAATATAATCCATCATCCAAACAAAAACTGAGAGACAAGTAACTGGAAGTTTGTACCTTTTGACTGCATTTATCCAATTCCCACTCCCCCCACTCCCACCGCCTCTGGTAACCACAAATCTGATCTCTTTTCCTATGAGTTTGTTTTTGAAAAATAATTGACTTATAACGCTATGTTTCTGTTAGTGATCACTATGTTTCACATAGTGATCTGATATTTCTATACATTTCAAAATGACCACTACAGCAAGTTTAGATAAGACACGTCACCATATGAAAATTACATAGTTATTGACTACATTCCTACACTATACATTTCATACCTGTGATTCATTTATTTTGAAACTGGAAGTTTGTACCTTTTAATCTTCCTCACCTATTTCTTTTCTCCCCTCCCCTACGGCAACCACCTTTTTGTTCTCTGTATCTATAACTCTGTTTCTGTCTTGTTATGTTTGCTCATTTGTTGTTTTTAAGGTTCCACATGTAAGTGAAATCATACAGTATTTGTCTTTCTCTGACTTATTTCAGTTAGCATAAGGCCCTCCAGGTCCATCCATGTTTTCACAAATGGCAAGATTTCACACGCACACACACACACACACACCACATCTTATTTATCCATTCGTCTACTGATGGGCACTTAGGCTGCTCCCATATCTTAGCTACTGCAAATAATGCTGCAATGAACACAGGGGTGTTTCTAATTAGTGTTTTCTTTTTCTTCAGATAAATACCAAGGAGTGGAATTGGTGGATCATATGATAGTTCTTTTTTTATTTTTTTGAGGAATCTCCAAACTGTGTTCCGTAGTGGCCGCACCAATTTACATTCCCACCAAGAGTGCACAAAGGGTTTCGTTTTCTCCACATCCTCACCAACATTTATTATTTGTTGTCTTTGGTAAAAAAAAAAAAAAAATTCTTACAAGAGTGAGGTGCTATCTCATTTTGGTCTTGATTTGCATTTCCCTGACGTTTAGTGATGTTGAGCATCTTTCCATGTGCCTAAATGGTTCCTGAAGGGAATCATTTCTGTATCATTAGGAGGCTAAGATTTGTCAAGGATGGAACAGGCAAGAAAATTAATCACTAGGTAACTTGTCTCTATGCCTTCAGCCCACAATCAGCTCCATTCCAGGCATTTAAAAATCAACAACAACAAAAAAAACGTGAGAATAAAGACAATGCAGATGGATTCTCATGTGCAAACAGGGAGGATTTGTTCAAACTAGAGAAGAAAATTTTGTGAAAAATACTGCAATAGATCAGAAAATAGCTATGACATCTCTATAGCATACATCTGTTTGAGTGAAATATATTATGTTTTTTATTTTGACATATTTATTGTTTCTTATTTAATTTATTGTGATGGCCAGAACTGGATTTGCTTTTCCTACAGTGGCAGGTAATTTGAAAATGGCCCTGCATTCTCTCCCAGAAAGAAGAGAACAGAAAAGGGAGGAGAAAGCATAGATTAAAATTTAGAGCAATAAAAATAGAATTAGCATAAGAAAATAAGTAAATTATAAGCCACCACCATCCCACAAAAAGGGAACTAGATTATCTCAAGAAAGTAATACAATTAGCTGTCTGTTTTGTTCACTGGTAGCATGAAAATATCTTGATAACTCTAACTGGATCTAACTTTTGGGCAAAATGCTTACTGTTAGTTACATGGTTACAAAGTTACTAGGAGTACTAAAGTTACAAGGGCTTCCCTTCCAAATTAAAGTCATAGAAATCGTTTATAAAATGTATTTTAAAATTATAATCATATCACTGAGCGACAGAGAAAAGAAAGGAAAAAAGGAAGGAAAGAAGGTACAGAGAGATAGAGTAAAGGATGGGAGGAGGGAGAGAGAGAAAACTAAGAACGTTTTTGGCAATAAATTTGAAAACTCAGATGAAACAATTTTATAGAAAAATATACATTACCAATACTGATAACACAGACTTTTAAAAAATTTAGTGATCTTATAACAATTTAAAAATTAAATTAGAAATTTTACAAATCTACCCACAAATTAAGCACCAAATCCAGAGAGATGTAAGTTTTTATCCTCGAAAATTTTCAAAGATCATATCTTTACCTTAGGTTTGCAGAAGGGAGGGAAAAGAAAATAAAAATTCTTTTGCAAATAATTTCTTAAAAAACCTAGGCTAACTACTAAAGCTGTGCTAAAAATAACAACAACAACAACAACAACAAAGACAAAGAAAAAATATGAACCATCCAGATAAAAAAGGCATTTTATCTTCAAAGGTGCTACTAAAAGATTAAAGCAAATTTTCAATGGAAATAATGAAAACCAGAAAACAAAGGAATGACATACAGCCAACCTAGAATTCTATATCTGGAAACAAT